TTTGCTAGGTAAGGTATATTCTAAACAATTTCTAGAAATCAAAATAATTAATACTTGAAGTGTATAAGGATGTGTTGTTTTGAATGCTAATAAATGAGGTATTATAAAACAATAAACCTCATAGTTTGTCTATCTTTTGTCAATACAATCAAACTGGAAGTTTTATACATTTTCTATAGACAACATGGTATAATCCAACCCAAGTCTTTTTGGTCTTTCGACTTATTGATTACGTTTCAAGTTTTTCAGATTCTTTTTGGATTCTGAATTTTGTGTATAATTGTAAATAATACTACTAAGCTTATGAAAAAATTTCAAGTTTCTGCGAGTAGAGATAGAAAATGTATATATATTACTTTATATATTACTATCTATTTTTCGATAAATTCTGGGAATTATAACTGGGAAAACGGAAAATGTTATTCGACAAAATGTCCCTTTGATCGATACCAATTTAGGTTCTGAATTTAAACAACATAAATAAAAATAATATAACCCAGAAAATGTTTTACAAATATCAATGAGTATATAATTGTACAAATAAGATCTTTTAGAGCACCGCGTTTGAGCCAAATAATGCCAAAAGTGCATTTTCATATTAACATTTCAAAAAAGTTAACATTTATTAACACTTGCGGCCCGTTTATATAACGTTTTGGTGTATAAATATAACTACGAACAAAACTACTTACTACAATTAATCATAATTAAATAATATTCACGCAAACTTTGTATTAAAATAAATGAATATCATCTCTCAAAACGTTTGATACTTGACGTATTAGCCACCGTCCATTGTTTTATTCAAATTACGCTTCTATAAAAATTTTCAAATTAAAAATGTAAAGTTTCTACGCGATTTCGAAATAATATCTCACCTTTCCGACAACCTACCGATTAGCACGATTTTTTAAGACTAAGGCTGGCCAAATCGGTTTAGCCGTTTACGAGTTTTACCGAATCATTTGATCGAGAGCTTCGTTTTTATATATAAGATATGATATATATGTATACTAGGGTAGATATGTATATATATACATACTAGGGTGGTCCTTAATATGGACATTTTCAAATTTCCCTTCTCCCAAAAGCTCTAATGCTTCCAAATTGATAAAATAAAATCCTCTATAAGTTTTAGCTCTTATGTTAGATAGTGCGCAATTCAATCAAAGTTTTGTATGGGAATATGGGTAAGAGCATGGGAAAATTTTCAAAAGTTTTAAAAATGTTTTTAGATATACCTTAGAACAAATGAATGTAATTTGCCTTAAGACGATGCCATTCACCACTAGTTATTATTACAATTTATGTAAAAGTATTACTATTATTACAATTTCTGTAAAACTGGTGTTTTTTTATAGATGCAGCAATGCCGGATAATTCTAATATTTTTGAATCGAAATTTATGTCACTACTGCTTGACATCAGGCTGTCCGAGGAGGCTATCGAATCAGGAATTTGAATGGAAGTCTATAGCTCTAATCATTAGATGACTGAAGAATCCTAGAAATGCTAAAATAAACTAGTGGGCTCATGGCATCGAGCCTTAAGGCAAATTGCTGGAACTTCCCGTATTAAAAATTATTATTTTTTTAAAAACGAATAACATTTTTGAAAATTTTTATTTTTACTAATTTTGACATATTTTGGAAGATCTGAACTTTTTTCCAAAGCAATCGTACTGCTTTAACTGCATAGAGACGAAATATCGAAGCGCGTAAGCGCCGCGCCGCCGTCTAACGGATAAGAATTGGTACGGAACCCATAGGAATGTAAACAAAATTAATACTTATTGTTAAAAACTCTATAAAATATCTGATAATTTGATGTGCATATGTCTAATGATCATTTTTGACCGCTAAATGACATTTTTTTACTTTTTCACTAGATCTCCGAAACCGCTAGACCTGCCTTCATGAAAGTTTGATCAGTTCTTCATCTTGTCAATACAAGTAAAACGTTTTTTGAATTATTAAAATCGGACGCTCCGTTCTCTTAAAAACTGAGTTACCGTTTTCGGCACTTTTTGCACCGTATCTTCGGAACGGCTAAACCTGCCTTTGCCAAAACTAATCAGCACGTCTCCTTATCAATACGAATCGAATGTTTTTGAATTATTTAAATCGGTTGATCCGTGTTCCCGAAATCGTCGACGAAAATCTGTATCCGAACACACACACATACACGCACATACACACACACACACAAACACACACACATACATCCATTTTCTCTAAATAATTTTCATTTTTGATTTTTTTGCGATTACTATACTTGCCCTAGACGGGAAGTTATTCCCAAGGTAAAAAGGACTCATATATACATTTTATCTGTTGATTTCCTTCAACTTACCTCAAGACTATCTGTTATTTGAGAAATTAAAAAAATGATCAAATTTAAAAAAAAATAGTCACACAAACATTTTATAATTTTTTTATTCATTTATTTGTAGCTAATATAAATACCATTCGAAGCTCTTTATATCTAATAGATTCTTGTATATAGATAAATATGTATGTGTTTATGTGTTTTTTTATCTTTATGTTATGTTAAATGTGTATGATTAGTTTAATTACTTAATCAGAGGCAAAAATATAAAAGTAACATTTAAACGGCGAACGACTATTTAAGGGCTTTTGACCACTCCAACAAATACTTGACAACATTAATAAATAAATTCTCACCCAATCTTATTACTATGTTGTCAATTATTTGTCAGAATTAATCCTAACAAGCTGCTAAAATTGCCGTCAATTGATTATCGTATCAAAATGAAAATTGATCAAGTGTTTTTTTACGAGCTACGAGTTTAATAAAATTCTATCAAAAAATGACATATTTTTTTATCACAATTCATTTAAAATCCGACATCTCCTTTTAGCTCTCTCATCGCCCTGCTTACTAAATATTGATTTTTGAATATGTTATAATAATAATAATAATAATAATGCTATAAATTACTAATAAAACTTACATGGGTAATAAATTTCTTTCGCTCAAAAACGCAGTACAAAAGTATAAAAATATTTACTTATAGTAAAAGTTACTTATATATAACTAAACACACGAAAACAAATAATAGTTATCCAGAAACAACTTCTGATTTGATAATTTGCAAAAAAATATTTTTATAATTTTATTCATTATTGAACTTTAGAGTCCGAAATAATAATTAACCCTTGCTGTACGAGCCAGCCATTTTATAAAAAATATTTCAAGATTTTATAATCAATCATACACACAGCTAGTCAAGCGAATGTCGCCTATAGACGACGTTCATAACGTCTAAAAACCATAATAACAAACTATAAAGTTCAATAGTTTAGCTCAGAATGATAAATTCAGAAGTCCAAGTCCAAACACACTGAATGTCGACTATAGGCGACACTCGCACACATAGGTCGTAATAGACGACGCTTGTAGCAAAGCAAAAAAACAGAAACCATAATAACAAATTATATTGATTATAAATTTAATCAAGAGTGGCGATAAATCATGAAGTACAAGTCGACACACTACATGTCAACTATAGACAACACTTCTACAAATAGGTCGCAAAGAGAATGTCGCCTATAGGTGACGCCTATAGTGAAAGTGAGCAAAACCAAAAGCCAAAATAAGTTCAAAAGTTTAGCTCAGAATGATAAATTTGGAAGTCCAAGTCAACACACAGGATGTCGTCTATAGATGACGCTTGTTGCAAAAGCGAAAATACTCGAAACCATAATAACAAATTATATTGATCATAAATTAACCAAGGTGATGATAAATCTTGATTCTCCACACTGGATGTCAACTATAATATACAACACTTCTAAAAATAGGTCGCAAAGAAGATGTCGCCTATAGGTGACATTATCCAAAATAACAAATTAAAATGCTCAGTAATATAGTTCAGAATGATAAATCATGGAGCACAAAGCGACATACTAGATGTCAACTATAGGCAACACTTCTGCAAATAGATTGCA